TGGCTGCTACCCACATCCCCATGGAAAAGCCAAGCAAACATGGGGATGCGCTCAAAGCCCTGTGCCTAGTTCCAAAAACAAGCTCATTCCCCCCGCCCACACTATCTTGCAGCCGAGACTACAAATGAAACACTTAAACTCCTTTGGGGTTTATGAGTAAGTGACCCCCTTTCTAGCCTGTGTCTATCTAAGCAGCACCGAGCAATCTACCCACATCCCCATGGAAAAGCCAAGCAAACATGGGGATGCGCTCAAAGCCCTGTGCCTAGTTCCAAAAACAAGCTCATTCCCCCCGCCCACACTATCTTGCAGCCGAGACTACAAATGAAACACTTAAACTCCTTTGGGGTTTATGAGTAAGTGACCCCCTTTCTAGCCTGTGTCTATCTAAGCAGCACCGAGCAATCTGAACCAGCAAATACAAGTTCCAACCTTTGACTCGCAGGCATGAAAGACACAACGAGAGACGTTAGTGCTAATTGCTTGAGACTGGGCTGCCCTGATTGAATAACCCCCACTTGCCCCGGCACCTGCAGGGACATAGGTTGGATTTCAATCAAGCCAGGCAAAACCCAAACCCAGAATGACTGTGCTTTCCGAGGCAGGGGAAGCAAGGGCCAGTGTCCCACGGGATCAGGGATCTGCCGTCCCTGAGCAGTGTGCAGGAAGCAGAGCTAAATGAAGCTAAGGGAGGTTTCTCAACAGTTACAAGATCCCTATATGGGGCCATTGGATCAGTAGGAGGGTCCAGGATAACTGGATATTAAAGAATTACCTAAGTATATTGCCTCAGTATTTTCCCACACCGGCACTATTCAGCTAACGTTGCCCTAAGAGGCTGCATTAAAGTAGTGCTCTCTCACCAAAAATTACTCTTTTGTAAGGAGACACCCACACCCAGCAAGAAATCAGAGCATGCATGGTCCTCTGATGAACCATTTTCCTTTAGACACTTCGGCTACATCTACATTGGCCTCAAATACTTGTGCAAGAACACTAACATTCTAATGTATAAAATCAGTGCTTCTTGCACAAATACTCTGACGCTCCCACTCAGGGATAAGCCCTCTTGCACAACTGTTCTTGTGCAAGAGGCCAGTGTAGACAGGCAACATCAATTTCTTACGCAAGTAAGACTGATGGTTAAAATGGCCATTGGAGCTTTCTTGCGCAAGAGAGCATCTACACTGGCACGAATGCTCTTGTGCAAAAGTACATCTTTTGTGCAAAGGCACATGCCAGTGTAGATGCTCTCTTACCCAAATACTCTAACACAAAAACTCTTGAGTTAAAGAGTATTTGTGCAAAATCTTGCCAATCTAGACGTAGCCTTCTTTAGGTACTGTAGCAGGCTAGAGGGCTGCTGCAGAGTGAGAGAAAGGCAGCCCAACAATGGTAAAAGACCAGCTAAATAGAAATGGTGGGTGGCAGGACAATTAGAAGCAGCTGTTAGGAAGCGGGCTCAGGCAGATTGGGGCCAGCTGTCTCCACTGCTGGCTTGCTGGAGGCCTTTAAAAGCCTCAGCAGTTAGCAGCTGGAGGAGGAGAGTGAGAGGAGGCAGTCAGTAAACCATAACAGCTTTAGAACCGGAACAACAGGGGAAGGAGTCCCAAGAGGAGTGGCTGGGTTCCCTATCCCAGAAACCAGCTTCAAGCCCTGATCCCTGGGGTAGAGGGGTGTGAGACTGGCCCAAGCTGTGGCCTGGGTGAGAAGGGCCCTTGCCACAGTACAAAAAGCCTCTTGACTTTGCTTCTACATATGTAGGAGAGTCCCATGGCATTGGGACAAGTTTGGCTCCATCTGTGATTAGTGTTCCCTGTGCACTTGGGTGACCACCCAGGAGAGATTCAGGTGCTGCCCAGCTGATTAGCAGGGTGCTCCTAGCTGGCAGCATGTTTCTCCTGGTGGTGCACATCTGCATATGCCTTGGTGCATCAAACCAAATTTATTCTACACGAAGATGCGGGGGGGGGGGGCAATAGAGGGAACATTGTCCATGATCCCTTTGATGGAGCATGAAGAACTGAATTCAGCTTTGGGGTAAACAAATGCAACTCTCTGGACTTCAGCCTCTGCCAATGAGGAGATAATGGAAACGGGACTCTGGCAGAATCCACGCTGTGATTTGCAACGTGCAAAGGCTTGACTCAGAATGAGATTCAATTTTAAACCAGAAATTCCAGTCCAAAAGGCTGGCTATTTGCAAAAGGCATCTCAGCCTCCTTCCCCTACTTCCAAATGTGAAGCCAGCATCCAGCGGGCCTACCGCCCCCGTGGGCCCTGCAGCAAGGTGTGGGGAGACTCGGAAGGGGCTGGTCCGGAGGCAGCCAGCCCTCACCTCCAAACATTTGACTGTGGTGTCCCACCCCCCCGAGCCACACAGTGCTCTGGGCAGTGATTCAAAAGGGCCTGGGGCTCCAGCCACCAACGCTGTTACTGCAGGGGTGGCCAGAGCCCCCAGACTCCTTGAATTGCTGGCTTCTGGGGCAACTGCTTCCTTAGTCGCCCTCTGTCGGTGGACCTACCAACATCCACAGAACTGATCCTGTTTCCTTTGCCTCCTGAACCTCCCTGCCTAGGAATTAGCACAGTGAAACTGCCCCGTCGCCTGCTTTCCGAGTTTGCTGATACTACACACACGCTGCATCTAATGCTCCCTGAAATCTTTTGCATCCCTGTGCAGATTTTTTCCATCTGTGCAGAATAAATTTTGTTATGCGCACCAAGACCTGTGCAAATGGGCACCACTTGGAGAAACAAGCCTAGCTGAGAGCGCCCTGCTAGTCCACACAGCTTATAGGGAACACTGCCTGCATCCCTTCTGAATCTGATCCTCCTTCCGTGGGACTTTCCAGGTCTGACAAACAAAGAATGCTCTCCACAGCAGGAGGAGGATGTTATTTCTCCAATAGGGAACAGGTGGTGGAGGATATGAAATGCCAGCTAGTCAATGGGGCCACAGGACGATTGAGGTGCTGCAGGAGAACCCAAGGAAGACCAGGGTGCTGCAGAGAAGCTAAATGAATTGTTTGCACCAGTCTTTGCTACAGAGGACACGAGGGAGATGTCCACACCTGAGCCATTCTTTTTAGGTGACAGATCCGAGGAACTGTCCCTGATTGAGGAGTCAAAAGAAGAGCTTTTGAAACAAATTGGTTAACTAAACAGCAATAAGTCACCAGAGCCAGATGGTATTCTCCCAAGGCTACGTCTAGACTGGCAGGATTTTCCACAAATGTTTTTAACGGAAAAGTTTTCCGTTAAAAGCATTTTTGGAACAGAGCGTCTAGATTGGCATGGACGCTTTTCCGCAAAAGCACTTTTTGCGGAAAAGCATCCGTGCCAATCTAGACGCGCTTTTCCGTAAAAAAGCCCCGATTGCCATTTTCGCGATCGGGGCTTTTTTGCACAAAACAAATCTGAGCTGTCTACACTGGCCCTTTTGCGCAAAGCTTTGTGCAAAAGGACTTTTGCCCGAATGGGAGCAGCATAGTATTTCCGCAAGAAACATTGATTTCAGACAGTAGGAAGTCAGTGTTCTTGTGGAAACTCAAGCGGCCAGTGTAGACAGCTGGGAAGTCTAGACACAGACCAAGAGTTCTGAAAGAACTCGGATAAGAAATTGTGGAATTAATAATTGCAGTGTCACCTATCACTGAAATTAGCTTCTGTACCACATGCCTGGGAGCTTAGCTAATGTTACACTAATTTTTTTTAAAGGCTCCAGAGGTGTCCCTGGCAGTTACAGATCAGTCAACCTAACTTCAGCACCAGGAAAACTGTTTGAAATTATCGTAAAGAAAAGAATTAATCAGACACATCCATACGTTGCAGAAGAATCAACCTAGCGTTTGTAAAGGGAGATTGTTCCTAACCAATCTACTAGATTTCTTGGAGGGGGTCAATAAGCATGTGGACAAGGGTGATCCAGTGGATATAGAGAACTTGGGCTTTTGGATAAGATCCCTCACCAAAGGATTTGAAAGTAAGCTCTCAGGAGACCAGAGAGAAGGTCCTCTGATGGATCAGTAACTGGTGAAAACATAGGAAACAAAGTATAGGAATCAATGGTCATATTTCAGAACAGAGAGATATAAATAACGTGATCCCTGAAGAACCTGGACTGGGACAAATGAGGTTCCACATGCTCATAAATGATCTGGAAAAAGCAGTAAGGTGGCCAGGTTTGGAGATGATGCAAAATTAGTCAAGACTGCTACATCCAAAACAGGTTGTGAGGAGTTACAAAGGGGTCTCACCAAACCGGGCGACTGGGTAAGAAAAGGGCAGGTGAAATTATGTGTTGATAAATGCAAAGTAATGCTCATTGGAGAACATAATCCCAACTGCACACAAAGGCTGTGTCTACACTGGGCCACTTATTCCAGAAAATCAGCTGCTTTTCCGGAATAAGCTGCGAGCTGTCTACACTGGCCCTTGAATTTCCGGAAAAGCAACGATGCTCTACTGTACAAAATCAGCCGCTATTCCGGAAAAACTATTCTGCTCCTGCTCGGGCATAAGTCCTTATTCCGGAACACTGTTCCGGAAAAGGGCCAGTGTAGACAAACAGGAGGTGAGGAACCCTTAGGAAATGGGTAGAGAATAAGATGAAAAATACCAGAATGTCACTGCAGACATTCATGGTACATCCACATCTTGAATGCAGTGTGCAATTCTGGTCACTATGAATTGGAAAAGGAACAGACGGGCAACACAAATGATTAGGCATATGGAATAGCTTCCATATGAGGAAAGATTACAAAGGTTGGGCGCTGTTAGAAAAGACCCAACTAAAGGGGGATATGATAGAAGTCTATAAAAACATGATTGGCATAGAGAGAGGGAGTAAGGAAATGTTATTTACTCTTTCACATAATACACAAACCAGGGGTTACTCAAAGAAATTAATAGGCAGCAGGTTTTAAAAAAACATAAGGAAGTGCGCCTTCCCACAATGTACAACCTATGGAACTCCTTGCCAGGGGATGTTGTGAAGGCCAAACGTATAACTGAATTTAAAGAATTGGATAAGTTCATGGGCTATTAGCCAAGCTGGTCAGGGATGCAATCCCCTGCTCTCAAGTCCCTAACCCTCTGAATGCCAGAATCTGGGACTGGACAACAGGGGATGGATCACTGATAAACTGACCTGTTCTGTTCACTCCCTCTGAAGCATCTGGCACTGGCCTGTTGGTAGACAAGATACAAGGCTAGGTGGACCACTGGGTTGACTCAGTATGGCTGTTCCTATGATTTTCAAAAGGACCTAAATGACTTAGGAGCACCTGTTCCATAGATTTTCAAGGGCCTTTGTATTCCTAAATCATAAAGGTGCTTCTGAAAGTGCCATCCAGCGAGTTCAAGTTTGCTGCCAGTTGTTCTCCGAAGGCCTCGTTCAGCCACAGCCTACAGCCTCTCTTTACTTCAGTGGGAGTCATGCCTAGGGCTGGGTTTGGTCACAGTGAAAAATTCCCCTCCCTGATCCGTCCTGCAGCTCAGAGACCTACAGAGTAGAGTTAAGGTCTGCACCTCACTGCTTGGGTAGGACCCCTATGGCAAATGAAGAATATGCAGCAGAGAACTACCTGATGGACCCAAGAATCTGGCCTTGTTCATAGTAAGGTTCCTCGCTCTGGTCTAACGTACACAGGTTTTATAGCAGTGTAACGCCATTGACTTCAAAGAACGCTCTACCTGCTCATGCCAAGGCTGGGTTTGGTCTAGCAGTAAGACAGAGCTAAGCATACAGCACATCTGGGATTTAATCCCAGTGCTGCAACATGTCCTCTAAAATCACAAGCATGTTACTGCTCTGGTGTGCCTGAGTTTCCCCACCTGAAGAGGAGAATATTAGCTCACCCTCTGGCAGGGCATGAGGCTGAATTAGCTCACATTTATATCACATCTTGAATATGGAAAGTGCTAAAGGTCATGACTATTCCTCCTGATTTACGCCAGTGCGCGGGAACTCAGAATCAGGCCTGGTGTTGTTTCCCAGTAAACACATTGTACGGAGAAGTACCTGATGTAAGGGTGCCTCAGGGTCATGATGCAGTTTGGGTTTATTTACTGCTGTTAAGTTAAACCTAAATGTCTGCTGGTTCCATTGAGGGAAAAGAACATGGATGCAAAAGAACAAAAAAAATCAGGAAAGGGGAAAAAGAAGCCACCAAAAATCATCTTAACATCACACAGAGTCTAACCCTTTCTGTATGCAGCTGTACATGCCGTGGTGCCCACCAGGAAGAAAGTCTAAATGAAAGCTCTACGGTAACTGGAAGGATGTTGTAATAAGAAACGCATCTCGTCTATTTATCTTTAATTGCAGCTTCTGGTCCAGCCAGCAGCTTCAGCATGTCTTCATTTACAGTATTCCTTCCGGAAATCTGAAAGCACAGAGGATGCAAGTTAGCGTTTGAAGACTCATTTAAAATCATGCAAATCAAGCCATGGTGATCTATATAGCTGTGCAGTGGGGTGCTCACAGCACGATAAAAATCCTCTTTCTGAGACCCCACTGGGGTCGGGGAGGTGCATTGTGATGGAGATGCCTCTGCTAAAAGGATGCTAAGTGCTGCTTGGAAGACTTGAATTGGCCTTCTCTCCAGCGGCGGATTTAGGGCAGGGCAAGAGGGGCGGCTGCATCGGGCCCCGTGCTTCCAGAGGTCCCGTGCATGCGCCTTGGCACCACGGCGCATGTGTCAAAGGGGGGGGCCCCGTGAAATTTTGCTGCCCGGGGCCCCGCGGCACTCTCATCCGCCCTTGCTTCTCTCCAACATGCTGAAGTGATCGATCCATCGGCCAACGATTTTTCGTGTCTACTTAGACATGATATATTGATCTCCGAGCACTCTCCTGTTGACGATGCCAGTACTCCACCAGGACAAGAAGAGTAGCCAGAGTCGATGGGAGAACATCTCCTGCTGATCTTACCTTATACAGGATGCCACGGTAAGTACATCGATTTCGCTACTACGCTATTTGCAGAGCTGAAGTGACGAAGGATTAGGTCAACGGTGGGGGTTAGCTTATTGCTGCCACCAATGACTCAGATCCCCAAATGGGAATTACATCATTTTCCCACCTCACAGGTTGAGCCATGCAAAAACCAGATGTTTCAGTTTGTTGGCAATTCCAACATAAGTTTCAGGGGGACTCAAAAATGATTTTTTTTTCTAAATTGCTGGTGACTTGAAAAATAATAATAATAAAAAAGAATCATTTTGAGTCATTTTGAGGTCAAGCATTTTTCCACAATTGTTTAAAAATAAAATGGAAGGGAATTTCAAAATGAAAAGTTGTTTCAAATAAATTAAAGCAAAATAGTTGGCTGGAAAAAAAGTCAAAATAAAACATTTTAATTTTTTCAGAATTTCTCTCTCCCTTAGGTTTCCGCCCCTCCCCTCCCCCCAACCAAAGCTATTCACTAAAATTGACAAGAATTTGCCACGTGTTTTCATGTCACCGAATCTGTATTTTACACTGAAAAAAAAGCTTTAGTCAAAAAATGTCACCCCACTCTACTCACAGGATAAATGGACAAGAGTGAACAGAACTTTTTCAGTTCTCCCTGAAAGTGACTCTCAAAATCATCCAGGCCTAGGTGGGAAGGGGGAGAATTTGGGAGCTTTTCATCCACCTATATTTCTGTGAGCCAGGTGGTTCCCTTTAGGAAAAGCCTCTCCTCCTCTTTACACATAGAATATTCCATTATGCCTAATAACACATAATCATTTTGCTAGAAAGGACAAAATGGATCCTTCATTTGCTACCAACCCCCCACTGACTTTGCTTCTTTCAGTGATCTGGTGTGGTCCTTTCACAGATGTAACAGATGTGATTCAGACTGGTCCCAACCTATTTAAATGGTTACTCTAAGCTGCTCTGCAGAATCTGGGCAGTAACAGCATGGAAACAGTTGCAGCTCCAGGGCAACTTATATGATCACTGCACCAATCTTATATGTAGTGTAAGTCTTGTCTGTCTGTCCACCTATCTGCAAGACCATTTGTTCAAGAATTCCTCCTAAGCAGTAAGAGCTAGGACCACCAAATTAGGTAGGCAGCTACCTCTTATCCTAGCTTAAAGCAAGGTCAGAGTTTGGTTGTGCCAGGACAATGGGATATGCCTGGAACGCGATTGTTTCTCACAAAATGGAATGGGAAGGCTCTCCTAGGTAGGACAATTATTCTGCAGAATGACCACAGGGGGCAATAAAGGGCCAGAGATGTGGACTGGGACAGTTATAATCCTGTTGGGCCAGTAGGGGGCAGGGGTGGAGAAAGGGACAGCTAGTTACTATATACTTCAGAGAATTTGTTTGTTTGTGTGTCTGATTGTCTATCTGTCCCCCAGCCAGGGGACATGCTCCCCTACCCCGGCTGTACCTGCTAAAGCTACAGTGGCCAGGGAGAAGCACTTCGCTCCTAGCCCCGATCTGCTGCAGTGAGAGATGGCTGAAGTAACCCTCTCTCCCTAGGGCAGCCTGCCTACTGAACCCCTCATCCCCGGCCCTCTCCCAGAACAATGATTTAAATAAAGAAAAACAAAACTCATTTGAGTGAAGGGTAAATATTCTAGTAACATTATAAAGTTGAATTACAGACGGCCCTGGCCCCGATTCCCTTCTCATTTTCAGTAGTTTGACACTTTGTTGATTTCAGGGGAGTTACTCCAGATGTACAGACAGATTGAGACTCATGGGGGTTCTGTTTGAGTGTTTTGGACCATGTCCATAACTCCATTAGCCCATGGTGGTTTCTTCCAGAGAATGGGTCATTCCTAACCTCCATGGCAGCCCATTTCAGCTAGGGCTTCTTTGCTGTGAGGAGTAGCCCCCTCTGAGCTGGGAAAAGTATTAGTTAGAAGACTGGAACAAAGTATTCTAGTTCTGTCGCATACCAGGATGGGAAGAAAATTCTCACATGCTGCCAAGAGCTTTTATGGCTCCTACTCACCACTTGTAACTTGTGGTTGCATGATGACAGACCACAAGCAGAACCAACTCCTCATTCCAGCGGGCGTGTGTCAGGCTGCTTGGACTTTCCCTCTTCATCTGTGACTTGGGCTGCTGTGATCTTAGCATCATGCTCCCCTCTGTCCCCCTCCCTGCACTCCCACAATAAAGAGCATCCAATCCAGCATTTAGTGGATGGATGGGTCATGCCTACCTTTGTCTAAATCGATGATCTTTGCTGGGAAGGTCTTGCTTTGCTCGGCCCTCTCCTTCAGGATGTTGTTTTTGTAATCTGCATAAGGGAGGAGCACAATTCAGACACTGGCCTCCAAGGGTGTGTCTAGACTACTGAGTTTTGTCGACAAAAGTGGACTTTTGTCGACAAAACTATATCAGCGTCTACACTACCGCTGAGTTCTGTCGACATGACGTCAGCAGTTTTGTCGACGCTGGTATACCTCATTTTACGAGGCATAACACCTTCTGTTGACAGAGTTCTGTCGACAGAAGGTGTTATTGCCTGTAGGGTTGCGTCTAGACTACAGGGTTCTGTCGACATAGCAGCTTGCTTTGTCGACAGAACTCAATGTGTCTGGACATTCTTTGTCGACAGAAGTTTTGTTGACAGATACTGTCGACAAAACTTCTGTCGACAAAACCCGGTAGTCTAGACGTACCCCAAGAGAACATTAAACACAGGCAATGCTTTGCCCATGACCATGCATGCCACTCAAAATTGGCTCGCATGCTACTTATGGCATGTGTGCCATAGGTTGCTGACCCCTGCTGTATCCTATAATTTTTCAAGTAAGTCCCTCCCTCTAGAGATGATGAGTTGGCCTTTATTTGGACTGTACAGGACAAAACAGAGAAAGGGCCAAATTCTTCCCTGAGGTACCAGTGAGTCCACTGATATACCCAGAGTTACACTACAGGTGAGTTTGCCCGTCCCCCTCATCGCCTTTAGGAATGCTCAGCTTGGTACATGGAAGAGGAACAAGATGACTTTAAATGCAATCTTCCCCAAGCTTGACCACCGAGAATTAACCATCCAAACAAGGCTCCCATTTTAAGCTCCGGTAAAAAGCAGCAGGATCTATCTCCTGGTATGTAACAGAGGGATCTCACCCAATGGGCAAGAAAATGGCAGGGGAAATTATGTGTTGATAAAGGCAATGTAATGCTCATTGTGGAGACTATAATCTCAACTGCACACACAAAATGACAGGGTCTAAATTAGCTGTTCCCACTCAAGAATGAGAGCTTGGAACCATCATGGATAGTTCTCAGAAAACCTCAGTTCAATTTTCAGCAGCAGTCAAAAAAGCAAAAAGAATGTGAGGAACCATTAGGAAATGAGTAGCGAATAAGACGGAAAATATCATAATATACACCCGCATCCTGAACGCCATGTGCAATGCTGGTCAGCATGTCTCAAAAGGGTATATTGGAATAGGAAAAAGTACAGAGAATGACAACAGAAATGATTAGGGGTATGGAACAGCTTCCATGTGAGGAAAGATTACGAGGGCTGGGAACAGTTAGAAAAGACACAGCGGAAGGGGGATATGATAGACGTCTATAAAATCATGAGTGGTTTGGAGAGAGTGAATAAGGCAGTGTTATTTAATCCTTCGCGTAATACATGAACCAGGGGCTACTCAGTGAATCTGGGAGAGGAGCAAGGTCAGATCATCAGAGCAGGGACCTCAGAGGCTGGATTTGAGGATTCTATTGCTCTCTCTCCCAATGACTTACTGTCTAGCATTGGACAAGTGAGTTAGTTGGTCTGGGCTTCAGTTTGACCATCTGTAACATGGGGTTCATGACAAAGTACATTGAGAGACCTATCAATGTGGCTTTGGGATTATTGTCCTGCTAGCACCCTGCAAATCTCCATCCTCTTTTTGCATCACGTGACTTCATGTTCCCCTGGATTTTGCTTTGAGCCACAGGGTTAGAAGCCTGCTACTTCAACACATACCCAGCCTTATGTCTTCACTTTTATACTGGGTCAGGTTGGTTGGGTCAACTGTAAGCTCTTTGAGATTCACGTCCTTCCTGGCAAAGGGAACAAGAGGAAAAAAAGTCACAATTTGCCAGATATTTGCTCTCTTTGCTTTTGCAAGTTGTTCCCCTTTTTTTCCCCTATCTTTCCCATCACCTCTGCTCCCCACATCCAATTCCTGATCTTCAGAGGGGAGTCATTTCAAAGCAGTTCATTGAGGATTTCAGCTGCACTACACATCTTAAAGCTAATGGGAGCACTGCGGTTAAAACATCACCCACTGCTTGTGAATGTTTAACTGGTTAATCAGTAAGCCTCGTTCTTAATGGGTGAGGTTTACTGGTTAAGGTTGCCTAAAGCTGCTCCAGCCCTGCGGCAGATCGGGGGGACTGCTCCAGCTGGGCTGCAGGGCCCCCCCCCCCCCTCCACCCCCCTTTAATTGGTTAAACAATATGTTTAACCGGTTAGCCAATTAAACGGGATTTTACATCCCTGGTAAGTTCAATGGGGCCTTGACCTCAGTCAGGCCCTTAAAGCACAACCATAATACAGAAAATAAAATCCCTAGTCAACTTCATGCGCCTTTTCCCATGAGGGAAAGGAACACGCGACAACATGATCTCACAAAAGGGAATCGTGCCTCCTACTGAAGTCAGGGGAACGTCCCCACCTCTCTCTCTTGCCAAGGGAAGAGGTACCACCCGCTCTTACAGCAGGTCCGCCAAGGTCTCTCCCTTACGGAGAAATAAATGGAGAAGCACCCATCACAGACACGGGCCCAAGCTGCAGAGAAAGTTCACAGGGGCTTAGGAGGAACAGATTTGTGCCCAGGACTATCAGAGCTCGCTTGCCCCAGACCTGTGCACTTTGTGTCTTTACCGCAAACGCCGGAGGATGTCGCTGGGGAAGTGCTGTGTGTTTTGATGCTCAGCGCCCAGTGTGTAAGCAGAGGAAATTCAGCTACCAAGCCAGCCCTCCGACAACCCCTTGCCCATTTTGGTCGAGCTCAGGCTGCTCCCCGGGAATGGGATCCCAATTTTTGTGGGCAGCACCAAGCACCCAGCAATAGCCATATGCAGGGAGTGAGCTGGCTTGTCCCATGAGTAGGCACTTGGCAGCCCCATCCTTGGCCGGTATCCAACCCTACTGACGCTGGCAGAAATCCACACATGACAGCATTGAGGACCTGGGCCCATATTCTTCGAGCTGGAACCTTTCGCTTTGTTCCGTGCTTCTTTACCACCGATCAGGGATTCCTACTTACTCTTCATATTTCTTCACGTTGTACTCGTAGCCTAGCCGGGAAAGAGACATGCCATGAGCAGGAGCACTGGCACCGGTCTGCCCAACCCGCTGCACTCTGCTCTCGGGCTGAGACGGGGCTCACACTGGGCCTGGCTTTCTCAGCCCGGCTACGTGCATCCCAGCTCCACTTCCCCAAGGGCCATCCAGCCACCCCCTTTCCCAGCCCACTGGCCAGTCACGTTTTGTGCCTAAATCTTCACCTGTTGTCCCACCCCTCCCTGACCAGCAGATGACTGGCAACCAAAAGCGCTGGTCTTCTCCAGTTGTCATGTCTCTGTGTGGTATTTAAGGCTTGGACATTTCAGGGATAACTACCCCTGTGCGGCTGCAATCACCAGTACTTGGTCTAGGGGGCACCTCCACACAGGTAAGCCTTGTAGATCTGGGTCTATCATGGGCCCCAGGTACAAGGATAGAGCCATTTAGGTCTGTGCCCTTTCCAAAAGGCAGGTATCAGGTATCATCCTTAGATGGAACTATGATCTCAGGGGTCGTCTTCTCCTGAGTGAGGCTTTGGTCTAGATTCTATTCTCATTTGACACCAAGGTGAACCCAGTGTAACCCTGTCCAAGCTAGTGGAGTGGCTCCAGATTTATAATAGCGTAACTGAGATCAGAATTTGGTCCACTGGTGTTTGGGTCTGTGATGGGGTGGACAAGGCCCTGAAGCCCCCTGCTGGAGGCTTGTGACCTTGCCACTCCCTGCCCAGCAAACCACAGAGAGGCCCTCCAGGAAAGACAGAGTGGCAAAAAGGATGTGACCAATCAGGGCCCAGCATGCCAGATAAAAGGAAGCTGTTGGGGCAGAGTGAGGCAGTTCCTCGTTGGAGTTCAAGGGGCTGAGGTAGGGCTGGATTGTAGGAGGCTGCCACATCAAGGAGTGAAGGCATAGACACTAAGCCAAAGGAAGGGCCACTTGCGTGAGGTGAATGACGCCCCATGCATGGGTTCCCAAACTGAGGGGCGTGGAGGAATTCCAGGGGGGGCATGAAGCAACCCAGCCCACCCCCCAAGTTTTGCTGCTATTTTTGTTTTTTGGCCCTGGTCAGTTCCTTTTTTATTTATTTTTTTAATCAACCTGTTTTGCTGCTATAGGGTGGAAGGGGGAGAGGGGTTCTCAAAAATCAAAAAGGATAGGGCGGAAGGGGGAGAGGGGTTCTCAAAAATCAAAAAGGGGCCATGATGCCGAAAAGTTTGGGAACCACTGACAGGGTCCCAACTCCCAAAAAGAGTGCCAATCTAAGAGATCCGAGGTTCTCTCTTATTCTCTTTCTCTCTCTCTCACCACACACACACACATACACTTTGGCTACATCTAGACTGGCATGATTTTCCGCAAATGCTTTTAACGGAAAAGTTTTTCCGTTAAAAGCATTTGTGGAAAAAAGCGTCTAGATT